ACAAACACTGACATCATGTTTACTATGTGCCAGGCATAGTTCATGCCACTTTACAAATATTAATTCATTTAACCCTCATAACAACCTTATAAGGTAGGTGTTGTCCCAGTTTTCAACTGGGGGAACTAAGCCAAAGAGGTTATACAACTTGCTGGATGTCACCTAGACACGTGGGTGATTTTAATGCTAGGCATTTCAGTGGGGGTGAAAAATTATTGTACAAAAGTGAATGGAGAAAAGAGCCCATCTAAAACGCCTTCTTTTAACAAAGGGTTTAAGTATTATCACAAAGGATTTAAACTTAGGTCCACGATGAGATATCTAAACCCTGCTTCCCAGGTGACTTCTCCTAGGAGGTGCCTCACCAAGGTCCCTCTTGAGACAATTCTAGGTAGGCCACTCTTATTTTTTTGGTTCATTTCTTTTGACAAACATCTGCTGAACATTAACCATGGGCCAGGCACAGTGCTGGGGACACCAAGGTAATTATAACAGGTTGTGGGCTCAGGAAGCTCATTCATAGTCAAGTGGGGAAAGTTGAGAAATGAACCAAGTCACATACATGCTGAAGAAAGAGCTGCAAGGATAGCTCTGCCTTTCTTCACAGAAGCGAGCCTTGCTTTCTCTCAACTCAAAGCCAGAGCCAGCACCTTCCTTTACAAGAGAGGTGATTGCCACAATCTGTCCACTGACAGCTAGGTGGGATGCCTTTCGTTGCCTCCTCCTTTACCACGTCTCCCTTGTCTTCCTCCCTTCTTTGGATTTCTTGTCTTCCTTCCCTTCTTTTTACCTGTCCTTTTGCTTTTCTTCTTGCCACCTGAAGACCTTTCCAGGGCCTCCCCCAAGCACTTACTCTCTGAGCCTATGTGTCTTGCTAGTGTATTTAAACATCCCAAGGTAAGTCAAAGAATTAAAAGAGTCGGGAGACATTGACACAGATCTTGTTGAGCTCAGATCAGGTTATTTCTTCCCATGACATGTCTCTTATGACCTCAATAGTGAACTGAACATCCCAAGATGTGCCCTTATTCAAATGTAGTTTGGCTGGGGATGCTAAGATAAGGAACATTTTAGGAGAGAGATCAGAGTAGGTACCTGAAGTGAGGAAGAGCAAAGTCTGAGGACAACAGTAGCCACTCTCCTGCCTTGAGCCCCATAAAGGCCATCTCTGCATTAGACCCCTCATAACAAAGCCCAGATGGTATTACTGGGACACGTGCAGCAGCCAGCGAGAACAGAGGAACTGCTTTGTTTAGGGCTTCAAGAAAGGGGACTCAGGAAGGTGATGGTGATGAAGACAAATAGGCTGTCCTCCTGCTAATAATGCTTGTTAGTTATAAGCCTGTAAAGAAAGCATCATTAAGAGAAAACCTTTATCACAATAACTTTTTTGCTTCTTCTCCATTAACTCCATCATTCTACCCCACCTCTCCCTAGGAGACTTAAAGTACTGTAATTTTCAGATTTCATTACTTCTGGATGATGTTGCTTTTTTCTCTATATTCATTAGCAGGCAGTGAAACCAGGCGGCTCTGCCTCCCTTTCGGCTGCTTTGTTAGCCCCAGAACAGGTTCTTTTTTTTTTTTTAATTTAAATTTTGTTATTAATTTATTTTTGTTACAGACGTTTCTACTACCCCCCCCCCCCCATTGACACCCTCCTCCTGACCCTTCCCCCCAGAACAGGTTCTTTGCCTCCCTTTGTTTTATCCATTTATCTGCTCAGAAATCACCCATCAAACATTTATTAGGCTTATCCTTTGTGCAAAGTTCTCTCTGACGTCCACTCTGGAGAATACAGAAATGCAGAGAACACTCTGTGCTTTCAGGAACTTGAAATCTGTGGAGAAGACAAATGTAATATAACTCAGTACATACAGACAGAAAAGATTTTGTAGAACTTGCATTAATTCTTTACCATTTAGAAGTAATATGGTTCTTTAAAAGCATGCCTTCTACATCTGATATTTTCCCCTTCTCTACGAGCTCCAGGAAGGCCAAATTGATCTTTTAAAAAAGGCAGTTTGGGCACAGACCAGGAGATAGAAACCCACTTTGGGATCAAGATGGACACCTTCAATCCCAAGATTTCAATCAACAGGGCAACATATGCTTGGGTCAGAATCATACCCGGCTCCACGCAAGACCTTCGGGCCGACAGAGACATGCGCAGCCCAGATGACAGCAGCAGAGGCAATGTTTACTTCTCCATGGTTCCTCTGTACACGTTACCGCCCTTTCTTCAAGAGCGTAACAATCAAGAGCATGCCAAAAACCACGGCACACTCCTTTGAGAATTTCATCACTGGATAAGCTGGTCTTGGGTAAAAGTCTAGGGAAAGAGCTGGTGAGGAGTGGGGGTGGGGTGGTGCAAGATGGTGGACTGGAAACAGTATTTTAGGGCAGGCAGTTGTGGTGTTTGGCACATAGTTTATGAACCAAACGATAGAGAGAATTGGGGGGATATTCTCTATTTTTCTAACCAAGTCTATCAAGGGTTACAAAGTCATTCCAGGTAAAAAGGATAATAGAAGCCTCTATATAACTGAGTTTGAAATACAGGTCCCCAAACACCCTTCTTTAAAAAAAAATATTTTTGTTTTCCTCTATTGATTTTAGAGAGAGAGGAAGGGAGAAGGAGGGAGAGATAGAAACATCGATGAGAGAGAACATTGACTGGCTGCCTCCTGCATGGCCCACACTGGGGACCTGGCCCACAACCTGGGCATGTGCCCTGACCGGGAATCGAACTGGTGACTGCTTGGTGCATGAGCCGACGCTCACCCACTGAGCCACACTGACTGGGCAACATCCTTCTTTATTTAACTGTGAGGTCAGTCAGTTTTATTTGGGGGGTGTTCAGGAGAGGCTAAAGAGAGAACACACGCTCCACCTGCGTCTTGAAGGTTGAGCAGTTCACGAGGTGTGAACAAAGGGGAAGGAATTCTAGACAGAAGAGGAACGGAAGTGCTGCAGCGCCGAGAATGTGGGACCGAGGCTGCAGGAGCAGAGAGTGAGAAGGTGGAAGGAAGGCCAGGTGGGGAGCCTGCATGTTCCACAGTCACGAACAGGAGATTGCTAGTGGTGACATACTGGGAGGAAGGAGCTGAAGGAGGTGAAGCCCATCACAGGACCCCCCATGGATAGGAAGCGTCCAGGGTCTCCAGAGTCTCCTCTGACCACTGGGGCAGGTGTTTCTGTCACAAATGAAGGGTGACCCAGGGCAACTCTGGTGGCTGTGTATCCATTCTTTGTGCCTCTTGTCCCCAGCCTGAGACCACAACTTCTGAAGAGACCCGCCTTGGGAGTTGTTTCTCTTTTATTAAAGTATCACTTGGACAGCCAACAAACAGCACAAGCAGACACTACAAACCCACACGCAGAATAAATTATGACATTTGTATGTAAAAGTAGATGACAAAAGAAGCTGTACCACCAGGAGGGCCTCCCAATCCAGTGTCTGGAGATTCACGAGTGTCAGCAGCCCCCGTGAGTCCGTGATAAATCTTCTGTGAGACATTTAGAGCCAAATGTGTGCCCCCCCCAGGCATATCTAATGAGGCTCAGACTCGTGCACACGAACGTGCGCACACACCGGATGGGGGCAGAGGACGGCCTCTAAACAACCACGGGCTCAGCAGCCAGCAAAGTGGACCCATCTGTGCTCTCCCGGTGGCTCTGGCAGCAGACGAGCTACTGGCGCTTATCCTTTGCCAACTCCCTGGCTCCCTTCGGAGGAGCAGTTGGGCCCCTGGCCAGTGAGGGTTCTTCCCAAGGTGAGGAACCCAGTTTGGTTATCTCAGGGCAGGTGTCCTGGACTCCAGGGTGAGCACTTCTCAGCTTCCGTACACTACCCTTGCTTTGTTGTCTGGCCCGCTTGCCACTCCCGGAAGAATGAGAAGGAGATGTATCCCCAGGAAAATCTACCAGTTGGGAGTCCCAGGACCTGTGGGCAAGTCCTACATTAGCCACGTAAGTTACCTTAGTTCTCGAAGTCTTATATTCCCCATCTGTAAAATCGGGAATGAGAGTGTCTGCTTCCCAGGGATCTCATAAGGAATTACTGAAATAAATGCTGCCACGTACTGTGCTAGACTCAAGGTAAAATTTCAAAACCTGTTTTCTTTCCTGCCTTCTCCCTCATTTCTTCCTTTCTATTTCTCCATTTTCTGTTTCCAGGCTTATGGATCCATGGGTAGTCATGTAACTCCAATGGCACCCAAAGCACCTCTTGACCAACAGGGCCTCTTCTACCCCAACAGAGACTGCCAGTGTGTGCTCCCCGCGTCCCAAATGGTACCACGGGCAGAGTCAAAGGGATGGACCACAGGACCAGAAGACTAGGTCGCCTTGGCCGCAGGGAAACCCGACTGTCTTGGGGTTATGGTGAGGTGCCACAAGGGCGGAAAGCGTGAACAAACTGCCGTAGGGGTGGCCGTAAGCTGGTCTGGCCAGAAGCTGGAACCCAGGGGTGGTCCTGTTTATAACTTTTAGCAGAAACAAAATTGCACCCCCTGCCAAGAATGGGACACCCATGGATGTACGAAACTTCTCTTCATAGCAGATGTGCCACCGAAGGGCCAGTTTGATAGGTCACACACAGTCCACAGAGCTGCTTCTGCCGACCTTTTCCTTCCATCTCTCCACCTGTCTCCACCAGCCATCCAGCTGCTACACAGTAAGAGTTTTGTAGAATACAGGCTCACCAGGACAGGAAGGCTTCTAAGCTCATTTAGCACCTTTTATCTAAAAAGTATCTTTTATGGCCACTCAACTGGAGTCTTTTTCAGGAATGCCGTGAGGTAGTAACAAGACAGGCAGTGCCCAAGAAGTGCTCAAGGTAACACAGTACTCAAGTGAGCAGAGCTGAACCATGGTAAGGGCCAGTCAAATACAGGGTGCTGCTGTGTTCCCCGAAGGTCAGGACTGGCCTTCCTCCTGGGGGCCTTGGTATGGCTTGTGCTGGACGGACCTCTCTATCCAGACCTGCTCTGCTGAGTTTCACACCAGTGTGGGTTTCAAGTCATCTTTGAAGTTCACGATGGGCTTCGAGCGGGCCCACAGCTTTTCCCAGGAAGCCAGCCCTGCAGTGTGCTCAGGGTCTGGGTCTGACGAGCCACTGTCACTGGAATCAGAGGAACTCTGGAAGCAGATTTCACAGTAGGGCCGGTGGCAGTGGCAGAAGAACTCGTCTGAGCTGCTGGACTCAGTGTCAAGGTAGTTGCATGGAGAAGAAAGGGAGGGACAGCCTGGGGACCCCGGGGACTGCAGCTGTCGCTGCTCAGGCAGATCTGGTGAGTCTCTGGATAGGCGTGGGCCAGTGCGACACTGTACCCGGCTAGGACCAGAAGGCTGGAGAGGAAAGGCTGCACGGCTTCTTCCAGCCCCCTGGGGCTCTGCCTGGCATTGTTGGCTGTCCTCCAGGGTGCCTGGCTTGCCTTGAGGATCTGGGAGTAGTGAAGGCTTCTTGGAAGAAGGTACCCTGGCATCAGCAGTTTGAGGGTCCAAGCAGAGGCTGTCCTTGTTCTGCACATTTAGTCCACTTTTTGTGCCAGATACAGTCCTATTTGCCTGATGCCCCACATATGCGGGTACAGAGCCCAGAAAGTGTGCGCGAGCCCGCTGTGCTGCCCGCCTTCTCCTCACGAGGTATGGGCTGAAGCCCAGCTCCTTGGAGAGGGGCATCTTCTGGGCACTGTGGGCAGCACCGCTCTTCCAGGGCTGCTGGGGACAGGACCGGGAAGAGGTGAGGGGAGCCTCAGGGCCCAGGCCCAGATCTTGTAGGACTTCCTGAAGCTTCTCCCTGATCACTGAATTGACCCTTGACAGTTGCTTCTGGGGCTCCCCTGAGTTCTCCAGCTGCCCCTGTCTCTGGGGAGCAGAGCCTTCTTCACCTGGTGTGTGACTCAAGTGGGGGACCATAGGCACCTGGTCTCTCCTTTCTGTACCCTGGCTTGGCTTAGCCTGTTGTTTCTGGCTGTAGCCTAAATTTAAATGATCAGAAAAGTCTTTCAAGTCAGGCATCTCTTTCTGCCCCAGGGAGGTGGCAGTGTCCTTCCCAAGCCCCTCAAGGCTTTGCACACTTGAGGAGGGCACTGAGGTACTCTGGGAGTCCTGGGCAGCCACACTGGTGTCCTTTGGAGAGTCAGAGGGGCATTCTGAATGCCTCTGAGTTGCCAGGCCTTGCACAGGGGCTGCAGCCTGACCATCCCTGCTGTGGGAAGAGGCAGGGAGGACAGCCCACTCCGGGGGGTCATAGGTACACTCAGCTGACATCAGTCTTACTAGCTTCTCTTTGGCGCTGTTTACTTGTTCCTGCAGGCTTTCAATCACAGCATTTTTCTGTAAGACAAAAGCAAAACCATCAACAAAAGATGCCACAGAGGACGTTCACGCCGTTTCCCGTGGTGGAGAAAGTGTGGCGCCAGAAGACCTTGCCTGAGATCCCAGCGCTTCGGTGTGCCAGCTGGTGACCTTAGGCTTCAAGGAGGCACCTCCGCAAAGTGCGAACACGTGATGTGCACACAGCTCAGTGCAATAACTGACGCGTGGTGCTCAGTAGGTCAGCCACGACTCATTGTGTGATCTAATGTCCTCCTCGGTCCCCGCTCTGTGGCGTTCTCTGGGAGATGGGAGTTTGGAGGAGACACAGCTTGCTGCTTGCTGGCTGCCACACACCCTCAGAACAGAGGGTCAGGCCGCTCTGCAGACACAAGTCTGAATGATGGCCCAACTCTGGGTTTATGACACCTTTGCAAAATACAGACAAATTTGAGGCATATCTCAAGGGGATGATTGAATGGGGAAACAAGTATTTTGCCTCTTGCTAATTAGACTAGAAAATGGAGATAGAAGAGTGGAGATTCCTGGGCCAACGAGATAAGGCTGAGCCAGGAGGGGCCAACGAGAATCTCAGGTTGGCTGGACTTGGGGTGGAAGGTGAAAGCTACCGTGTGGCACTATCGGTTACTGGTAGCTCCTAAAGAAGTGCAGGGATTGGAATTATTGAAGAAGTGTTTGTTTTGTTTTAACACAGGATTGTTGGGCCTACGTCTCTGGTAGCTTGATTCGGTAGATCTAGAATGGAGCTCAGAAGATGAGGCTGGGGCAGTTCTGCTGTTGAGCTGCCTACCTGTTGCATAGCTATTAGTTGATAAACAGGCTGGGCCCAGGAGGCCTGGCAAGTGCAAGCTGAAGAGGTATGTCCATAATAACTGAGCTTGTGGGCATGAAGTAGGAGGAAGAATACGGCGGTGGGTGTGACCTGAGCGTCCTCTGGTGCTAAGGGCAGCTGACTCTCTAACTCAGACCTTATGTTCATCTTCTGAAATTTTTGATTATCAAAGGCAGTGAGGCAGGGGAACTCATGGTCTTGGGGCAGACAACCGGGGTCAAGGGTGTAGGGAAGGTAATAACACAAGCATTGTGTTCTAGGGAGTACTTGTCCAAATACCAATATGCTTCTCTTTGTTGCCATCTTCTTTAAAATGTAAGGATAAGCATTATACCCTAGAAATAAAAGGATGTTCTCCTTCTTTAGGATTCCTGGTACAAGTTGACTATGGACCTAACCTGTGGTGCCTTCTCAAGTTGAGATGGGAGAGTTGCCTAGAAGTGACCCTGTCAGAAAGCAGTACTTGAAGTAAACTAGTCCAGCAATAGTCTCTGGCAGCAACCCCAAGGCAGAGCTTCTGCTCCCTATTTATAAGCAGGAAGGTGATTGCTTTGGTATTGGGACTCCCAGTTGTGTCCTGGTTTAGTCTACTTCTTTTATCACCAGGAGAGTCCCAGAGCAGTGAGTAACTTCTGACTAAGTGGAAGGGACTTGCAGCTGAGCACCTGCTTCCTGGTCTCCCTCTTCCTCATCCGCAGAGTGGCAAGGTCGGGGTGTTGCTGGGGAAGTGTAGATGACTCAAGGACTTGCCAGGAGCAGAGTGGATGAGTAACTGGGAGACATTCATTCAGGTTCTTCTTGATACCTGGGTGGTGGCACATAGCTCTTGAGCATCTCATAGTGGTGACTGTGCTGGTTGCCCAGCTGGGACCTCAACCCTCTTCCTCCTCAGCAGCCCCTCCTCATGAAGGGGGGTCCAGGCTGGCTTCAGGAGGCCTTCACTGCCTCACAGAGTTAGGAGGAAGCCACCAACTGCTGACAACTACCTCGACAAGTAAACTCTGAGTGGTGTCTTTTTGTGCCTTAGCCATGAGTCTCTGTGAGTAGAAAAATAGGGTAGATACTGAGTTGGGAGAATACTCTTCTCCCAGCAGACCAAACATCTGAAGTTGGCTGGTGATGGATTTAGAAACAGATTTCTCTTCTTTCAGACCAAAAAGTGGGACGCTGTTTTCACCATGACTGCATACTAATGAGAGGCGTGGTGTGAGCCGCTGCCACGGGGAAGCCAAACTCTGACCTCTCCTGGCAGCTGCATTTAAACGAGCTTATTAATTATTACTTTAGGCACATCTGGGGAAGCAAAACATCCACACGTTGATTAGTTGCCTCCCACATCCACCCCAACTGAGGCTGGGGATCAAATCTGCAACCCAGGTGCATGGTGTGTTTCACAACGTACAGGCCATAAGGCGAAATGGAATCACCTGCTTGTTGCTATGGCTCAAGGAAGATAAAAATAATAGGTGGGCTTTCTCTGCTGCAGAGTGCAGAAGGGAGGTTCTTCAGCTTCTGGGAAGTTCTACCTGCTGGCTTCACACAGCCTGGCAAGTCAGCGATGGGAGCTGCCCGGAACACCTCTGGGGAACCCCTGGCCATAGTGGTGAAAAAGGCAAGAAGGAGAAGATGTATACTGGCTGGTGTTGCTCCGTGGTTAGAGTGTTGGCCTGTACAGCAAAGGGTCATGGGTTTGATTCCCGGTCCAGGGCACGCACCTGGGTTGCAGATTTGATCCCCAGCCTCAGTTGGGGTGGGTGTGGGAGGCAACTAATCAATGTGTCTCTCTCACATCAACGTTTTGCTTTTTAAAAAAATTTTTTTCCTTTGATTTTAGAGAGAGAGGAAGGAAGAGGAAGAGAGAGATAGAAACATCGATGAGAGAGAAAATCGACTGGCGGCCTCCTGCATGCCCCCACTGGGGATCGGGCCCACAACCTGGGCATGTGTCCTGACCAGGAATTGAACCGGTGACCTCCTGGTACATGAGTCAACACTCAACCACTGAGCCTCACTGGCCGGACTCACATCGATGTTTTTTTCTCTCTCTCTCCTCCTCCCTCCCTCCTCTTCACTCTCTCTGAAAATCAATGGAAAAAATATCCTCCGGTAAAGATGATCAAGAACAACAAAAAAGAATAAAAAGACACCCTTCCCAGATCATGGGAAAGTAAGCAGAGGAGGACAAAGTAAGGCTGGCAGAGGGGCTGCACTGGAGGGAGGCTAGAGTCAGGGTTTGTGCTCATATCGAGGCAGGAGAGATACCGTGTTTGTCCACCAGGCAATGCCGGACCCGGGAATTTAGATTCTGTGACCTCTCTAGGCCTGCTACGGAGCCCTGGGGTGGCTGCTGGTTCTCAGGCCTTTTCTGGTGTACCAGGTGTAGGGTGTTGGGGAGAGGCCAACTTTTTACTGCCTGTGCATCTGCTCCCTATTAGGGCCCCTCCTCTGCAGACTCCAGGCATCGTTTTTGGATAGAGCAGATACAGTCACTGCGTGGGAAACAGGGTGGTTAGTGTGGCAGAAGTACAAACAGCACGTCATAAATTACCATAAGGCTAAAGAGTCAGGCCACTTGGCTGTTCCAACATTAGCTGATTGTGAATGAAAACCATCCTGGCTGTTCTCGCCAAGTTTCTGGCCTTCTGCTGAGCTAAAAAAAAAAAAAATGCTTCTTTGAAGACTTCACAGAGTATCAAAGGCAATGCTACTCCCTTGCCAGGTGGGGAGAAATCTGGCTTTGAAATAAGGTCCTGAATGCTTCCTAAACAGTACAGAAATAGAGCAGTAGTACTCTGATTTTTTGAAAAGGTCCAGACTGAGGCTGTGGTGCGGGAGGCTAGAGGGGCCCAGGCAGGGGCCCAGGGAAGGCCCAGCCCTTCACTGGCTGTGTTTCTAAGGTTCCCATCACACAGTCCTCTCGCACAGGGATCCCTGATACACCCATGTGTCAGTCCAATAGCAGTAAAACAGTTTCTTAAATAACACCTACTCAGGTATGTCCTGTACTGAAGAAAACATGGAATATAATTTAGTGTGAAAATACTAATTCTTCTGAGCCGCATGCCTCTTTTCTGAAGCAGTGCAGCCTCAAGCTCCTCCATGTGCTTTCGGCCCACACCCCACTGCCCAGATCTGGGAGAGGTGCCAGGTCTGGCTCAAGTGCAGAAAACAGAAGGGCTGGGGACTAGACTACCTGGTTGCCCTCTTGGTGCTACTCTGATATTCAGGGGCCTTATTCAGCCCTTCCCCCCCGCCCCGCATCTTTAGACACTTATTGACTCTCTGGGTTGGTGGGATGATTGAGATCTCTTGTTCAAACCTGGAAATACAGTAAGGGACCCCCTAAGGTCTTCTAAATGAGGGCACCGCTCTATGTAAGGAAAGACTATCACGCAGAAGCAGCTAGCATCCACTACCACTCAGGGCCTTTCCAATGCTGTTCCCCTGCTTGGAATGCTTTTCCCTACCCTCTTTTATGATCAGTTTGTACTTACTTTCAGCTCTCAGCTCAGAGAGTCTGGTCTAACAGCTCTAAATTAGGTTCCCTTGCTCTTACCGCCCATTATTCTCTTACCACCCTGATCTTTTCCTTCATTCTTCTCTTGATCCGTATCTATTTCCCCCATTAGACTGTGAGCTCCATGAGGGTAGGGACTATATTTGTTTCATTCATCAGCACTTAGCACAATGCCTGGCACACATCTGTTCAGTGAATGAATAAAGTGGGTGCAGGTCAGCCACGCGGGAGGAGAGTCACTGAGGAAATGTTGAGGTTTTGCCTGCCGCTAAGGAATGGTGGTGGTGGGGGGGGAGGATGCGAGGAGAAGAAAGAACATTAGCAATGTGACATCTGGGGCGCACCAGTGCATGACTGGAGTCCTTTCTAGAGGATCCACCAGGCAGAGGTCTCGCTTACTTCTGTGAGTAGTCTTTCCATGGACGTTTTCTCTCCTCTAGCATGGCCGTTCTGTTCCTCGCCACACTGAGGATGGCAGCTTTTGCTGGGAGTGCTGAAATACTTGGCCATGCATCGAATTGTTTGGTTTTCCTCTTCAAATGCCTTCCATTGCTTCAGCTGTTAAATAAAAGAACACATGCTATTTATTTAATTACACACCCAGAAACACATTCTCCCACTCTCCAAAACGCCAAGGAACGACAGCGATACGCAAATGCACAAACTAATCTCTGCTTGGGATGTACTTTACTCTGGAAAGTTCATGGGCAGTAATGACAGAAGGTACAGAGAATGTTTGAAAAATGCCAAAGGAAAATGACAGGTAGATGAAACAGAACAATCTTAGCTTGACCCACCCATTGCTGAGCTGGTCAAAGAAAACCGGATTGAAGTATACTTTTAGGACCATATTCTAAAGCCAGAGTTTATGAGCTATACCAGGGTTAAGCAATCTAAACTCTGTATATTTCAAGTGAAACTGTTTCTAGTTATATGTAGCTGTTCTTAATTATCCTCATTTGTTGAGTAATGGTGTGCTTACAGCGATCGCAAACCCAGTTCCTTGCTGGAAGACTTCTAACCCAAGTCAATAATCAAGACTCAGGTAGAAAACCACAAATGGCAATAAATAGCAATAAGAATGATAGAATGTTAGGTCTGCAATCTGACCATCTTTTTTTCTTGACAAATGAGGAAAGACCCAGAGGAATATGACTGATCTAGGCCCATGCAGCAAGGAGGCTGCAGAGCCTCTGCTGTAACCAGGGCACTGTGCTGACCCCACGGCCCCAGCACAGCTGATGAAGACAGAGACTGTTAACTGTGGGTCCTAAGGAAAGTTTTTCAGAAGAAACTGGTTTTAAGAAATGATCTGTGAAAGGATGGAATGGAACATAGGGCATTGACAAATGGGGGGCCGTCCTCCTGAGCCTTTGGGACACTGTCCCTGCTTGGTGAATGCCAGTGGTGTGGATCCCAGGGGAGGCCACAGAGCTGGAGGCTTCTGTTTTACCCTTAGGAATTCTCATCACTCTGAGTCCTGATATGCGTTGGACACTCCGGCACCTTAGAAATGATGCTGGTGACTGTGGGGAGCCTCACGGGGATCAGGGACTTCTTTGCTCACTCGTCAACATTTACTAACCCAAATTTGGTAAAGCTCAGACAGGATTCTAAATCCTGCCATCAGTTTCATTTACCACATCTCACCCATATCCTCTTGGGTCCTCTGTTGACTCAGCATGAATCCCTCATGATATTAGGAGTTTGTGTGCTGAATCAGTCCAGAAACCTCCTCTCAGATGTCCTTCCTGAAAGCCTATGGTGCCGTCAGCTCACCATCTCACTAGGGAGTTCTGGAGCCTGGCACCATAGGGCCACTATATGGTCCTGAGTGGATGGAGCAGACGCCCAGTGTTCTCCTAGCATTGACCCTAGCAGTGTCCCAGCGTCCTGGCTCCCTCTCAGACCCCTTCATTTCCTTAGCAGTACAGCTTTCCTGTCTGCCCAGCACCCTCAGGCCCAGCCCTCGCTGCAGGGCTGCTGGAGGAACTGCCCAACCTCGGCGTAAGGGCGTCCAGGGCTTTGGGTCTGTCTCTCCCTAAGCTGGCCAGGTGGAGCCAGGTGCCCCTTGATGAAAGTCCCCTCCCCCTTAGTTCCCTGTTTGTGAAGGTCCTGGTCCTTCAGACTAGACCCTTTGGGGTTTCTGAAATATGGCAACAAATGACCCTCAGGTCATAATTTCAGGACCTCTCTATGACCCTCCAGAACAGTGGTCCTCAACCTTCCTAATGCCATGACCCTTTAATATAGTTCCTCATGTTGTGGTGACCCCCAACCATAAAATTATTTTCGTTGCTACTTCATAACTGTAATTTTGCTACTGTTATGTCTTAGGTGACCCCTGTGAAAGGGTCGTTTGACCCCCCAAAGGGGTCGTGACCCATGGGTTAAGAACCGCTGCTCCAGGACAGGCACATTCTTGGTTTTTCAGCCTCTGTGGTTGTGGTAGGATAAATAATGCCCCCCAAAGATGTTCCCCTCCTAAGCCCCAAAACGTGTGAATATAGCATCTTACATGACAAAGGGGTTCTGTAAATGTGCTCAAGGTAAGGATTTTGGGTTATATAGTGTGGCACAATATAATCATGAGTCCTTATGAGAGAGAGGCAGGAGGGACAGAGACGGAAAAAGAGAAATAACTGTGGAAACAGAGGTCAGAAAGAGATTTGACGATACCACACGGCTGGCTCTAAAGACAGAAAAAGAGAGCGGGTCATGGATGCAGGCGGCCTCTGGAGGCTGAGAAAGGATGGAAATGGTTTCTCCCATTAGCCTCCAGAAGGAACGCGGACTAGTCACCTCGATCTTAGCCAAATGAGACCCATTTCAGACTTCTGACTTCCAGAACTATAATACATTTGACTTGTTTTAAGCCACTAACTTTGTATTAATTTGTCACAGCAGCTACAGGGAACTAATACAGAGGGATTAAATCTCCAGTCTTCGACAGGACACATAGGGCCTCGAGAAACTCACCTCTTAGCCTCCTGCCACTTTCCCCTTCCTTTGAGTTGTGCTTCAAAAAGTGCAAAGATTTGCGGTGCTGCACACATAGCCTGTTCTCTCTCACACCTCTGTGCCTCTTGTCACGGTGTTCCCCATTTGAATGCCACCCACTGTCCTGCCCCCCAACGGCTCAGGGAACGCTTGCTTCTCCTTCAAGGCTGGGCCCATTTTCTGAGAAGGTGTCATGAGTTCCTAGACAGGCTGGGGCACCCCTTCCCCAAACACTTAAAACATGTATTATAATTTCGTCATGTCTGCTCCCAACTACATCCAGAGATGGGGCCATGTGTTGAACTGCATCTTCCCAGCAGTGAATGAATGAATGAATGAATGAACGAACAAATGAAAGTTTTCCTTTAAAAAGTTCATCTATCTAGTAGGGGCACTGAGACATATGCAGATAACTCAGGCAGCGTAGGAAGTCCCAAGTACTTACTTGGAGGAGCAGATGAAACACTCTGGAGGATTAGAGGAGAAAACAATGTTCTACCTCAGGACCTATCTGCCTCTCAGAGGTGAAGGGAAGGAAGAAGGTGTGTGCAGGGCTGGCTCACAGGTAGGTCACCATCAACAAAAGCAGAGGCTGGCTCCTTGCTGGTGATGACCTCAGTGTTTGGCATAAACACTCAGGCATTTCCTGAGGGCCTGTGTGGAATGCCACTTGGTCCACTAGCTCCTTCACTCATCCCACTCAGCTCTAGCACCACCTAATTGCCCTTGAGGTATCCGTGCCTTTGTTTTCATAAGCCCCTCCCACACAGTCTGACACTCAGTGGCAAGAAGGAAGTGCCCTTTTCTTGCTCTCTTCTCTCCCCATGTAGCTCTCTGGTACCTTCCCGAATTTGCTCAGCTGTTTCTCTGCTGGGAACACACAGTGCAGCTCTCACAGGGAGACTCTTCTACTAAAGGCCATGGAGCCAGAGGGGAAAGTCAATTAAAAGGAACACAAAAAATAATTTACTGCCTAGACCTAAAATACAATGCACTATAAAACATATATATTTGGTTTTAGACCATGATCAGTCCAAGAAGAAAAAAGGCGTGACAGAGAAAACAGAAGAGGAAAGATAATAGAGTAAGAGAAAGGGAGCTCAAGACAGCTAGGAGGAAAAATGGGAAACAGAGAGAAGGAAAGAGAATGGCCATCACTGCCCATCCCTTTTGACCCTGTACCCCATAATAATTCCACTTCCATCTCACTTTAACAAATCAAGTGCTTGTCATTTATTTCCAACCTGGAAGTCGGCTTTCAAGCTGAACTTTGTCCTGCATTTTTGTGTCTGTGTGTAGATGGGAGTGCACTTAGATATCACTACTGTCCTAGGTGCTGAGGTTTCAACCACCACAGAGAGTGGAAGTCTTGTGTCCAAGGCAAGGATGCCAAGGGACAGATGTGAGTGTTCAGAGAGGGGATATATGTAGAGCCACATCATGGAGGCTGCTGATTCACTCAGTTTCCAGATGGAGGTCTTGTTTTAGGTCAGGAAGTCTTTCCTCCAATAGTTTACTGGTGATTACTTCTGCCCCAAATTATTTTTATCTTTCAGAGTTTCCTGTTAGCTGTAAATGGTATCCCTAGATCTGTTCCCCATCTTTCATTATCTAGTCTCTCATTTTCATAAACTGTCTCCTTGTGTTCTGTTTCCTTAAATTAATTCACTAATTCAATATTTTGCCATGTCCAATTGCTTATTCAATGTTTCTACAGGGGTTTTGAATTTAATACCATGTTTTTCATCTTTATTTAATATTTCATGATCTGAGATTATGTCCTTCTCATGATGGTTTGCTTTGGTTAAAGATAGGCAATATCCTTTATTTAATTAAAAAAATTTTTTCTTTATTACTTTTAGAGAGAGAGGAAGGGAGAGGGAGAGAGAGACAGCAATATCAATGAGAGAGGACATCAATTGGCCGCCTCCTGCATGCCCCCCACTGAGGATTTGGCCCACAACCTAGGCATGTGCCCTGACTGGGAATCAAACCAGCTACCTCTTGGTGCATGGGTTGATGCTCAACCACTGAGCCACACCATCCGGGCTCTTTTATTTATTTTAAAATATGGAATTCCTCATGAATGTGCGTGTCATCCTTGTGCGAGGGCCATGATAATCTCGGAACTGTTCCAATTTTAGTATATGTGCTGCTGAAGTGAGCACCATGCAATATCCTTTAAATCCTTTTGAAAAGACAAATTTGCTGTCTTCTAAAAATGTCTGTTTCCTTCAGAGGTAGGAATCTTTTCCAAACCCTCAGAAATTTGTGCATCTCTTCTTATAAACTGCAGAATTTCTTCATAGGTCCTTTCCCCTGAATTTATAGTATTACATGGAAAGAGCTATAGTTTCCTAGTCTAGTAAATACATTCTCTTGGTTTTTCCCTCATTGTCACAAGATGGCTGCCATAGCTCCAGGCATAACAAACATTCAAGGTAGAAAGAAGGTAGAAGAGCCTGGCTGGTATGGCTCAGTGGACTGAGCATTGTCCCATTTACTGAGACGTCCCGGTTCGATTCCCGGTCAGGGCACATGCCCGGGTTGTAGGCTCAATCCCCAGTAGGGAGTGTGCAGGAGGCAGTCAATTGATGTTTCTCTCTCTTCTTTCTTTCTTTCTTTCTTTCTTTCTTTCTTTCTTTCTTTCTTTCTTTCTGTCTGGTGGCTTTTTATTTTATTATTTTTAAAATCCTCACCCAAGGATATTTTTCCATTTATATTCAGATAAAGTGGGAGGGAGGGGTATAAAGGGGGAGGGAGGGAGAGAGAGAGAGAAAGAAACACTGATGTGAGAGAGACACATTCATTGGTTGCCTACTGCATGATCCCAACCAGGGCTGGGGACTGAATGGCAACCAAGGTATGTGCCCCTGACCGCAATCAAATCCATGACTCTTTGGTCTGCAGGCCGATGCTCTAACCACTGAGCAAAACCACCCAGGTTCTCATCGATATTTCTCTCCTTTTCTCTCTCTCTAAAAAATCAATAAAAACATATTAAAAAAAAAAAGAAGGTAGAAATGGTTAAACCAGCCATACCCATAGCTTTTTTAGGAAAGCAAAAACTTTCTCAGGAGCGGCCCCAAAAAACTTTAGTGTTCAAAACTATGTCACATGGTGCCGGGCCAGTGTGGCTCAGTGACTGAGTGTTGACCTATTCACTAAGAGGTCGCCAGTTGGATTCCTGGTCAGGGCACATGCCCAGGTTGTGGGCCTGATCCCCAGTGGGGGGCATGCAGGAGGCAGCCAACTTATGTTCTCTCTCATCAATGTTTCTATCTCTCCCCCTCTTCCTTCCTCTCTCTCTAAAATCAATAAAGAAATGAAAACAACAACAACAAAAAAACTGTGTCACATGGGCACTGTGAGGTGTAAAGGAGGCTGTAAAAGCAAACGTTTAGTTCTTTCAGACTATATCGTGGAGATGGGAAGGAAGAAAGGGTTTGGCAATGGGAGGATGGGTTACCAATCAACAATGCTGACCACAGCCTAAAGGGTGGGCTTCCCAAAGGCCCCTCCCCACTCCCTGTTCCCATCTCTCAGAGAGGAATAGCCCTTGCTTTTCATAGCCCTTTTCTGCTGCATTCCAGACAAATAAGACTCAGCTCTCAATGGCTTCCTTTAATCTAGCTCTTATAACATTAAGATTCAGCACAAATTCCTCTAGTTTCTGTCATAGAGACAATGCCCATCCTTGGTTTTTAGTGCTGCTGCTACAGATATTTCCACATTTGCTTATTCTTTTGAGTATTTTCATGAGAATTTACGAAAAGGAAGAAGAGTAAAACGCCTATGCCTGCATCACACCATCATGCCCCAAAGTCCACTCTTCCCTTTTATAAATACCCTGTAACCCTCCGCCAACCATTTGATCGGTCAGTGACCTCAAGGCAAAGTCATTCATAGTCAACTGGAAGCTGAAATGGGAACCAGAATGGATGTTGAGAGGGTAGTAGGATGGGGGAGGCCTTGGGGGAAGAAAAAGAGAACTAGAAGAGAAACAGGAACAGTGCCTGATGCCAAGTTCACTAACTCAGATGTATGTGGCTCAGCGGTACCCTCGGGCCCAACAGGAATAATTTCACGTCACTTTCCTTTCAGAGCCTATGGATTCCGTTGCCTTTCCCTCCAACTCCCTTTTTCCTCTTTGCTGTCTGGACATTTCTGCTTCTATCTTCCTCCCCTGTTTGATTTTTTTCTTTAATCCCCATAATATGAAACATGTTTTTATTCAGTTTTATTTCTCCTTGCTGTAAAAAGAAGAGGAGTACTTTATATTTTCCTTTAATAAAAAGAAAAGAAAAGCATTCACAATTGCATCAAGTTCCAAATGAGTTTTTCCCTGTGAATCTGTAATCCTAAATGGGAAAGAAAGAAAGAAAGAAAGAAAGAAAGAAAGAAAGAAAGAAAGAAAGAAAGAAAGAAAGAAAGAAAGGCAGGCTCCTCACTCCCGGGCTAGTGAAAGAATGACATTATCAAGATGAGGAAGGGACTGGGAATGGGTGAAACAGGCTGAAGGATGGGTGGAAAAGGTGGGGTGGGAGTCAGCTGCCAGGGGTGGAAACAGGCAGCGGCCATGCTCAGCCACTCGGGCTGCCCTCCTTGCTGACCGGGAACAGAGGGGTCTCCCTTCAGGAGAGGGAGGAGGGACGAACAGAAGAAGCCAGCTCACCAGGAACCCTCTTTCCTTCTGACTCTCCAATAAATGGTACTCAAAAGTCTTGATAGACAACACAGTGAGCAGTTTATCATGCCCAGCTAATCCTCCGGAGGACCGGCCTGGCAAATTGTTTCTAGAGCATACCTGGGGAACGAAGATGAAGCAGTTAATGGTGGTTGTGCAAACAAAGATTCCTCCAGACGTGAAGCCAAAGACCAGGTTGGGCCAGGCGTGCAAATATCTGGTGACCACAAGAAGAAGCCCGGCAGCCAGCACCACAAGGTTGACCCCAACCATGATGGTTAAAGACTGATTCACAGGAGGAGAGCTGACATGGTCGGTCAGGCCGGCCAGGTAGGCACCATACAGCAGCAGCAGGCCCTGGAGGCGGACGGAGAACCAGAGGCTCAGGGCCAAAGGGCAGGAGAATTGGGACCATTTAAAGTAAGAATAATAAAACCTACCTTAAAGGGTTGCTACGAGGATTTACTCAGACAGGAGAGGACGCTTAGGACACCCTTGCCACCTAGTAGGTGCTTAGTAAATGTTATTTTCCTCTCCTGCACTGAGAATTAGTTTATCAGAGGTTGGCACATAGGACTCTGCTGGGTTGAGGCACAGGACAGGATGGAATAGGTGGGTAGGAGCCCTACAGACAGAGCTGTGGACAGTAGTGGGCAGTGGGTGCATCGTGTTGCTGGTGAGGCTGCCACATCCACTATGTGGTTTTGTACCACGTGGAGCTGAGGGCCTCATGGAAGCTGAAATAGCCCTGTGGTCTGCTTGTCAAGCCATGCGCCCTGGCAGGGGCAATGCCCCAAGGAAGGGGCTCTTTTTTCCTAATTTTCCCAAGGCACCATCTGCTTGCCAAATCCTGCACCTGCAAGATTGCATCTGCCTAGAAGGGATTCCTTTTTCTAATTTACACAAAGGATCTCCATAGGCCAGCAGAGGCTCTGTGCCAGCGGGTGTTCATGGAGATGGAGAGTGGAAACAGAGGAGAACAAAGGCAGGCCAGGACCTAGACCAGACTGCGGGGCAGGCACAGGCAGCAAAGGCTGCATCTTACCCGGCCCCTCTTTGTGACATTCCTGGCCCCCACCACCAGGAACCCATGAATGTAAACCTGCTCTCAGATCTCTCATTTGTACTGCAGAGAAAATGACTCACAGCATCGTAAAGTGCTGCTTCTTTTGGAAGGAACTGCATTTAAACAGAAATAAAAGCTTTAATCAATAATACATAATATATTGATTCAACATAAGTTCCCCTAACTATACACAAAGTGTCATGCTAGGTGTAGGGCAGGAAATAGTGCTACAAAGAATTAAGCCATGGTCCTGCCTTTTATTTATTTATTTTATCCTCAATCAAGAATACCTTTCCATTTTTTGTTCAGATAGAGTGGGAAGTAGAGAGAGAGAGAGAGAGAGAGAGAGAGAGAGAGATGTGAAAGGGACACATCGAGTGGTTGCCACCCACACGACCCAACCAGGGCCGGGGACAAACTGCAACCAAGGTATGTGCCCTTAGCAGGAACCGAACCCAGGTCTCTCTGGACCACAGGCCGACGCTCTAACCGCTGAGCCAAACCAGCCAGGGTGGTCCTACCTTTTAAGGAGCTCAGTCTGGTAGGGAGACGGAAGGCAAGACACAAATGTCTGTGTTTTGTAACTGAATGTGAAGATGCCATTGGGGATGAGGTGGGGTGGGAACTATGGGGATTCATAGGGAGAACTAACAATGAACGTAAGGTCAGACATCAGGAGGGCACCTGTCAGTGACCCTGAAATCCCCCGACCTGACCAGTTCCACCTGCAGAGATGGTCTTAATGGTAATTTTTGGGAGAATTGATGGCCTAGACTGAAGTAGTCAGCATGGCAGAGATGCCTTCTGGGTGCCCCAAAGGTCCAGTGTCCCCATTGGGGTCTAATGTGCCACCCTGAGACTTTCAGGGGTTAGAAGATATACCAGTTAGGAGGCCAGAGGAGCCTAACTTTTGGGTAACTGATGCCATCAGGTGGCATTTGGCAGAGTTGGATTATGAATAATTTAATCAAAGGTGAATGAGCCCTGGCCGGTTTGGCTCAGCGGTTAGAGCGTCGGCCTGCGGTCCAGAGAGACCCGGGTTCGGTTCCCGCTAAGGGCATGTACCTCGGTTGCAGTTTGTCCCCGGCCCTGGTCGGTCGTGCAGGTGGCAACCACTCGATGTGTCCCTTTCACATCGATGTTTCTCTCTCTCTCTCTCTGTTCCTCTCTCTCCCTCCCACTCTACCTGAACAAAAAATGGAAAAATGTCCTCGGGTGAGGATAAAAAAAAAAAAAAAAAAAAAAAAGTGAATGAAATTAACTCTATGATTTTGAAATGTTGAAATCTGATTCTATTAAAACATTTAAATTCCATTTAAATCCTTGCCCAATTGGAGCTAGGTATTAATAGAGCCCCTATACATCTATGATTCATCCTTGAGTGAATCACATATGATATGTCATTTGCTTTCACTGCTGAGAAGTGTGGGGTAATAGGCAGGTGACAGGTTCAGGAGGGGCTCCTGGAACTTTATGTGGAGATTTGGGTCTTCCTTTGGAAATAATATTCTACTTCTGCCATCTAACGGAGACAAATGAGTCTAATTCAGGGTGGGAGATACTTGAGGAAGCTGGAAACACTCAAAGGACAGTTTGGATGTTGTTGCCTGTCTTAGGACCAACCTTGCTACTAAGCAGAGTGAGGGGGTTAGATGGGTGAACAGCAGCAGGACACCTCGACCCAAATCCTCCTTGCAGGGATTTGGGGAGAAAACTGATACTGCCAAATCCATTTCAAATGAGGCCAAGAGAAACAGTAGGTGGATTCCACATGATTTGGGGGAGAACAAAATGAGGGAGTCCAAAGAGTCGAAAAAGTGACTCCCTGCAAAAAGTAGATAAATAATAAGGGTCATGGCTTTGAGATTTATGCGTCAACAGAGGTCTTCTTGATTTCAGGATTTTTAGCAGGAATCACCTCATTAATTCCTTCTTTATATATATCCACTTTGTTGGAGACAGGCAAACTGTATCACAAGAAGATGTGGTTACCAACCTTGCATCCCAAGACAAGAACAATCCAGATATCAGAGTACCGGGAAGCACAGAAGTGTGTGCTGGTCAGCGAGCAGGACACTTCTCTCCCTGTCATCTAGGAGGGACACAGAGTCAGGAATGAGGGCACCCACAATTACTAGGAACACACAACAGGCCCCTGTGAAGGTCCTGGAGCGTGGACTCCTCTACAGCATATATTTTCCCCCTTAGTGTGTAAAAGCTATAAAGTTTAGTTGACTCCATTAGATAAATGAGAGTGACTGGCGGGAAATACGATGAAGTTGCGCTGACATGTGATGCTGGGTGGCAGCAGGGCTTACCTTCTGTTGTGTGCTTTGCTACCACAACGACTCACATTGGTGCATCAGCAAAATTACAATCATTTCACACCATGTTCTTGCTATTTGCTAATAGTTGAAACCTTCAATATTAAATCTGCAATGTCAAGATTCCACTATATTCCTCAGCCCCTGGTGAGGCTGGAGACACAGTATTTCCTTTTAAATGAACACTATGTACCAGGCACAGTTGAGTCTTTACCTGCATTCCTTTATTTACTTATCACCAAAACCTTAAGAAACAAGTAGTATTATTATCTTCATTGTATATATGAGGAAATAGAGACTTAGAGAGGGTAAATGACTTTCCCAATATCACATGGCTAGAAAGTGGTAGAGCTGGGATTTGAACCAGGGTTGACTGACTCCAAAGACAACCTCAAAATACTGGTTTTACCTCCCAGCAATTAGGGAAGGTAACTTCCTGTGGCTGAAAGTTCTCATTATTGATAATGTGGAAGCAGGGATAGCTGCCAGGCAGATCCCAGGGTGCTGACGTCTCAGTGGGTGCAGGGGGTGGACACCTGGGCAGGAGGACAGGGGGAGAGGTGGCACACCTTGCAGACAAGGGGCAAGGCATTCACAGCAGCCACAGCTCCTGAGGCTCTCCCTTCTCTGGGTCACTTATCTTCTCGTTGGGAGGATGCCCACACAGTGAGAGCTACTGCGAAATGACCCCTGTGTGCCCACAGAAGCCATTCCCTTCAGTTCAGGAACTGAATTCTCCAGGGATTGGGGCCCTCACCGTCATACTGACACCGAGAATCTGGAGGCACTGGACGGGATCAGTCAATACCCATGTCATGAGCAGGATCACATCAGCTATCACCAGGGCCGCCACCAACCCCAGTAGCTGCAGGTCTTTGATTATCTGAAAAAGAGTTAAGATTATAACTTTCCTTAGCTCACTGGCTATCCAGGGACTGTCCTTCATGTTCTAAGCTGTAGGCTCCAGGGTTAGCTCTCCCATGAAGCTTCAAATCCAGCCATCAAAGGTAAAACAGATACTAAATATTTACCATGATTTCTGTGTCCATATAATCCTCACCATTAAATATTTCCATTTGTCTATATTTTCCATATCCTGCCTTTTTCCACAAAAGATTCAAAGGTTTTATAGAATAAATATTATTTTGAGATAATGCGAGCAGATAGATGTGGGAGTTTTCACATAATACTGTTAACAACCGTTAACCTGGAGGATGGGGTTGAGAGCTGAGGGTACTGGAGGGAGGATTGCTAACAAGTTCTTTTTTTTTTTCGTTATTGATTTTAGAGAGAGGGGAAGGAAGAGGGAGAGAGAGCTAGAAATATCAATGAGAGAGAACATCAACTGGCCACCTCCTGCATGCCCCTGAATGGGGATTTGGCCCACAACCTGGGCATGTGCCCTGCCTGGGAATCGAACTGGCGACCTCTTGGTGCATGGGTCAATGCTCAACCACTGAGCCACACTGTCCAGGCCTAACATGTTCTTTATACTTACATGAATCACTTGACTTCACACAAAAAAATGTGTTACTTTTGTGACCACAAAAATAAAATTAAGGAAATATATATCCTGCAACAGGATGAAAAACTGAAAAACATTAAGGAAAAGAGAAAATAAAGAGAATTATGATGAAGGCTCAGGTGAGTAGAGTACATAACATTCATGAATTGGGGCAGAAATGTGGGTCTGAGTTTTTGTCAACCAGTGGAAAGAAGAAAGCACAACCAGTTACATGATTCCTGGTCTTTGTAAGATAAAAACAAATCAGCTGCTTAATCAAACTGCTCAAAACCAGTGATATAGAGTAAATCTTTAAAGCAAAGAGCAAACAAAGATACATTATGTATAGAGAAACAAAGATAAGGAAGACATTAGATATCTCATCAGATACAAGGCCAAGTGAGAGGTCAGTGCAGAAAAATCTTTAAAGTACTAAAGGTAAAAAAGAAAACCTCAACATAGAATTCTACATCCAGCAAAAATTACCTTTCCAAAACAAAGGTGGAATAAAGATTTTTCAGATATACAAAAGCTGAAAAAATTCAGCACTGGCACACTCATATTAGAATGTTAGATATCCTTCAGGAAAAAGGAAAATAATATCAGAAGAATATCTGTAAAAGGAGAGTAAGAGCTCTGGTAATGTTAACTTCATGGAAAAATATGTGATTTATTTTTATTTTTAAATATATCTTTAAACGATAACTAATTTTAAACAAAAAATTACAGTTGTGTGGGACTTATAACATGTAAAATAAAAATAACACAAAGATTGAGAAGGGGAGAAATAGAAGCATACTATTGTAAAGTACTTATAGTAGATGAATGCCAGTTATACACAAACTCTTCCAGAAACTAAAGAGGAGAAAATACTTCCCAATTCTCCCTATAAGGCTGTCATTATCCTGATACCAAAAGCAGAGGAAGATTTTACAAGAAAAGAAAATTACAGAGCAATATAATACACACATTATAAACAAAATAAATCCAACAATATAAGGCAAGGATAGTACATCATGACCAAGTGAAGGTTGTCTCAGGAATTCAAGGTTGGTTTGCAATTCTAAAACCACTTAATGTAATTCAACATATGAACAACTAATGAAGAAAAACAAAACAAAACATATAACCATGTCAGCAAACACAGAAAATGCATTTTACAAAAACTCAACATCAATTCTTTATAAAAACTCTCAGCAAAATAGGAATAGAGGAGCTTCCCCAACTAAATAAAAAGTATGTGCAATGAAATTACACCTAACATCTTACTTAATTTTGAAAGACTGAATGCTTTCCCCATAAAATAAAAAACAACTCAAGAATATTTGCTCTCAGCAATTCCATTGAACACTGCAGTGTTGTTACTAGCCAGTGTCATCATACAAGAGATTGGATAGAAACTGCCTTTAGTCACAGATGATATGATAATCCATGTTAAAAATCCAAAGGAATCTATTTTAAAAGCTACTATTAATATGTAGGTTAGTAAGGTTTGCAGCAAACAAGATAGCATACAAAAATCTACTGTATTTCTACATATTAGCAACAAAAAATTGAAAAGTGAAATAAAAAATAATATGTATAGTAGCACAAAAATATAAAATACTTAGGAATAAAATCTAATAAAAGATGCAAAAGACTTCCACTAAAAAGTACAAAAAAGTGCTGAGAGAAATTAAAGATCTAAAAAAAAAAAGGAGAAATATACTGTGTTCATGGGTTAAAAGACACAACATCGTTAAGAAGTCAATTCTCTACAATTTGATCTATAAATTCAACACAATCTCAATGGAAATTCCAGTAGAATTTTTACAGAAATTTGCAAACTGACTCAAAAATCCATATGAAAATTCAAAGGACCTAAAATAGCAAAAACAACATTGAAAAAGAACTAATATTCCCTGAGTCAAGATTTAATATAAAGCTACAGTAATCAAGATAATATGGTATTTGTGTCAAAATAAACTACACCAATGAGACAAAGTAGAATTCAGAAACAGATCTACATATCTATGGACAATTTTCAACAAAGGTACAAAGGTAGTTCAGTGAAGAAAGAACAATCTTTTCAGCAAATGTTGCTGGAACATAAGATATAAATAAATATATATATAAAAAATTAATGTTGATCCATGCAGCACACCTTATTTCAAAATTAACTAAAAAATGGACCATAGACCTAACTGTAAAAATGAAAACTCTTAAAACTACTATGAGTAAACACAGGAGAAAACCTTTTGGGGCCTTGGATTAGGCAAAAGTTTCTTAGATCTAATAACAAAAACATGATCAATAAAAAAAAAAAAAAATAGGTAAATTCAACTTCATCAAAATTAGAAATATGTTCTGTTTGAAAGATACTCTTCAGCAAATAAAACAAAAAGCCACAAACTGGAAGAAAATCTTTGCAAATAATATATCTGATAAAGGATTTGTATCTGGAATTAAAAAAAAAAAATTTCTTAAAACTCAATAATAAGAAAACAAACAGCTAAATTTAAAAATACATGAGCCCTGAAAATCTATTTGAAAAAATAATGACAGAAAAATTCCCTAATTTGGTGAAGGAAACAGACATACAAGTCCAGGAAGCACAGTGAATCCCAAACAAGATGAACACAAAGAGGTCCACACCAAGACACATCATCATCAAAATGACAAAGGTTAAAGACAAAGAGAGAATCTTAAGAGCAGTAAGAGAAAAGCAGTTTGTCACCTACAAAGGAGCTCCCATAAGACTGTCAGTTGATTTCTTAAAAGAAACTTTGCAGGCCAGCAAGGAGTGGCAAGAGATTATCAAAGTGATGAAAAGCAACGATCTACAACCAAGATTATTCTCTCCTGCAGAGCTATCATTTAGAATCGATGGTGATGTAAAAAGTTTCCCAGACAAGAAAAAGCTAAAGGAGTTCATCACTACCAAACCAGTATTATATAAAATATTGAAGGGTCTTCTTGAAGGAGAAGAAGAACAAAAATATGAACAATAAAATGGCAATTAATACATATCTATCAACAACTGAATCTACAAACAAAATGAGCAAGCGGAATAGAAACAGACTCATAGAGAGAACTTTCTGTTGGTTGCCAGATGGGAGGGGGGCTGGAGGGATGGGTGAAAGAGATGAAGGAATTAAGTAGTAGAAATTGATTGTTAGACTGATGAACCTCAAAGGGAAGGGGGGAGAGAGGGTGGGATGAGCTAAACCAAAGAACTTCTATGCATATATGCATATGCAATGGATACCAACAATAGTGTGGGGAAGGCAGGAGGGGGGTGGGATTGAGGAGTAGGGGGTCAATGGGGAAAAAAAGGGGGATATCTGTAATACATTCAACAATAAAGATAAGTTAAAAAACATACATGAGCCCAACCCTGGCTGGTTTGGCTCAGCAGTTAGAGTGTTGGCCTTCAGACCCAAGGGTTGTAGGTTTGATTCCCAGTCAAGGGCATGTACCTGGGTTGCAGGTTTGATCCTTGGCCCCAGTTGGGGTCATGGGAGACAGCCAATCAATGTCTCTCTCACATTGATGTTTTTCTCTCTCCCCCTTCCTCCCTTCCACTCTATCTAAAAAAAAAAAAAAAAAAAAACCAGTTGAAAATTATTCTTGGGTAAGGCTTAACAACAACAACAAAAATGTGTGAGAAAAGAGCAGATACTTTACCAAACAAGATATACAACATGGGGCAAATGTAGGTTTACAGTTGTGAGTACATGAAACACAGAATTTATTCTTGTATTTTATTTATTACTTATGGTATTATTTTCCATATAAACAACTGTAAACCTACTTTTTGCCCCACCCTGAATACATATGAAAAGATGCTCAACTTTGCATTAGGGAAGTGAAAATTAAATCACAATGCGATATTAACCCCCCCCCCCCCACACACACACACCTGTTAGAGTGGCTAAAATAAAAGAAACCGACCAAGTCAAAGTTGGGGGGCATGTGGAGGAAAAGGATTCTAAGACTCTGCTGGTGAGAATGTAATATGGTACAATCACTTTGGAAATGAGGCAATTTCTTAAAAAGTTAAACACATACCCACCATATGATCCAACCAGGAGAAATGAAAGCATATGTCTACATAAAGACTGGTACATGAATATTCATAGCAATTGTATTTTTAATAGCCCCAAACTAGAAACAGACCCAAACATCCATCAATAGGTGAATGGAGAAACAAACTGCTGAGTCTACACATTGGAATACTACTCAGCCAAAACAAGGACAGAACACTGGAGCATACCACAACATGAATGAATTTCAAGATAATTATGCCAAGTAAAATAAGACAGACAAAAAAGTACATAATTCCATTTATGTAAAATTCTGGGACAAGCAAACTTTTCTATACTGATGGGAAGCAGATTAATGGTTGCCTGGGGACAGGGGCAGGGTATGTAAGGATTGGACAGGAGAAGAAGATAAAGGTATATAAGGAAGTTTTACTGGATTGTACACCATGTTTAATGCATGAACACATATGTCAAAAGTTACGAAATCATACACTTTGGATTTGGAAATCATACACATTGCATGTCAACTATGCCTCAACAAAACTATTTTAAAAATGTTTTTATTGATTTTTCAGAGAGAGAGAGAGGAAGGGAGACAGAGATAGAAACATCAATGAGAGAGAAACACTGACTGGCTGCCTCCTGCACACCCCCTACCAGGGATCAAGCCCACAACCCAGGCATGTGCCCTGATCTGGGAATCGAACTGGGACCTCTCAGTCCATGGCATGATGCTCAGTCCACTGAGCCACACCAGCTAGGCAACAACACTATTTTTTTTTAAAAAAGATTCAGTACTCTAAAGGGATGGATAAACTTCTTGTCCTTTAGGCAATGTTTTTCAAATGGACGGGTACTTGCAGCTGAACTTTTGGTAAATATTTACCACTATTCAAATAACCAAAAAACAAACAAACAAAACTCCCCCCAGAAAGCACCATTCCAGAAAAGTAAACTCCTACTGAGAGATAGATATACTTGGTCTGGGCAGAGCCTATAGACAGCGTTTGATGAGCAGATGTTGAGGTATGGGCTGTTCTAGTAGGGATCCTGATGAAATGGGGAAATGTGGTTAGGATGACATATGATAACAAGGACATGTAGGTGATCTGCTGCCACAGCTTCTAGGGTTGATTCTACCTGCTGAATGGGTGTCTTCTCCCTTGCTCATGCTCCAGGCCCATCCTTAGTGCAGAGAGTGGCCTCCTACATGGAAAAGAACTGGGCTCCACTGAGGAAAATAACTCCTTACACTTGCTAGAGCTTCTCTTACTCACTCTCCCTCCCTCCACTTTCAGCTCACACCTGTACCAAGCAACAGTCTCTCTGGGCACCTCCCACTGGCACCACCTATTGGCCAGCTCACATCCCCAGAGCAGCACCAGGGCCCTGGGTGCATATGAAACAGAGCCTATGTTCAAAGACCTATCTCTCCAATAGCAGTGACACACAGCCTTCCACGCTTGGGGACTTAGAGGCCACATGACTCCAAGGTTTGAAGTGAGGAGCAGGAACTTCAGACTACTGGAAATGGGCCAGACCAGTGATCTGGCAAAGCTTCCCTTGCTTTTAATCAATAGTGAAGCTGCCATCTGCTGTCAAGCACTAGGTATGTACTGTCTACTTACCACTCTCTTGTCCGGGACCCTCTGGGTAAACACCTTGTAGAGTCGCCAGCTCTTCCCCAGAATGGGTCCAAACACAAGGGAGGTCCCAATACATAGCATGGACAGTCTTACCTACAGGTGGAAAAGGACACGAGCAAGAGGCATGAGAGGAACCACTGTCATTCTCCACACATTCTGATCTGCAAAGCCTCAGTCCACAGAGGGCATGGACAGAAAGTGGACCCCATCAGCTAAGCATTCTAGGAATCGACTCTGAAAGTGCCCACACCAAGGACAAAGGTAACCACCACCCACAGGAACAGTGGATTAAAAAATTGTCAAAACTTTGACGTTATATTTAAAACTGAAGATTTTACCCACCTGAATGAGAGTTTCCATTGAGCTTCGCACTGAAGCACCTCCATCTTGAATCCCAAAGAGGTAAGCGCTACTATAAGTCAGACAACTGCCCAGTAAGGTCACGATGTTCAGATTGGGACTGGACATCTTCACAATCCTAGGGGGAGCCAGGAACAGAGACACTTACAGTCACGACCCTTGCCCTGGGAGTGGACACAGCTCCCTCACCAGCATTGTCTCCAGGGCAGCCTCACAGTGAAGTGCCACTGGGAAGAAGCCCTGTAAAATATGGTTATGAGCCCTGGCCGGTTTGGCTCAGTGGTTAGAGCATCGGCCTGCAGTCCAGAGAGACCTGGGTTTGTTTCCTGCTAAGGGCATGTACCTCTGTTGCAGTTTGTCCCCAGCCCTGGTTGGGTCGTGCGGGTGGCAGCCACTCGATGTGTCCCTTTCACGTCAATGTTTCTCTCTCTCTCTCTCTCTCTCCTGCTCTATCTGAATAAAAAATGCAAAAATGTCCTCGGGTGAGGATAAAAATAAATAAATAAATGAATCACACACACACACAAATAAAATATGGTTATGATTGATTTAAATTTATTTTCAAAGAGAACTAAATTCTGGCACATCTTGCTTGTATAACTCCAAGTCTTTTAAGAGAAGGCCACTTCTAAAAGAGTTACGAGTTTTCCATGAAGTTTATGGTTGTCAAGAGACTGCTGTATGCTGCCAAGTGAATAAATAACTAGCAGGTAGATACCTAAAGAGATACAGTTGGAAGCCTTTAGAAATGAGCTGTAAAGTAACTGCTGTTTGGAGAAAAGGTTTGGGAATTTTTTTTCCTTCCACTATTTCTTGATTTGATAAGTGAACTAATTTCCTGTCTCTACCTGACCAAGAGAGAAAGAGAAGCAGGGGTTGAAAGCAGGAAATGTGGTAAGAGTCTTTTCTTGAGGGATTTTAAATAAGGTTACAGAGTGTCTGGCCAGTGTGGCTCAGTGGGTGAGCGTCGACCCGTGCACCAAGAGGTCACCAGTTTGATCCCTGGTCAGGGCACATGCTCAGGTTGTGGGCCGGATCCCCAGTGGGGGATATGCAGGAGGCGGCCAGTCGATGTTCTCCATCATCGATGTTTCTATCTCTCTCTCCCTCCCTCTCACTTCCTCTCTCTCTCAAATCAATAAAGGAAAAAAAAAATGGTTACAGAGCAATTGAAAGATTAGAGGTAGGGATGGACAATCACAGTTTCAGACAAACCCTGGACGCCAGTAGAGGCTCAAGACAAGGTAGAAATGTGCGACTTGGTTAACCTTACAGGAAAACCTGGCTTAAACTTTGTTGTTGTTGTTATTTGTTTTTGTTATGGATAACAAAAAGTAAAAGTAACTAGAGGAATGTATAATTGTATTTAAGAATTTTAGTCTAAATGGTGTATTTTACATAAATGCAATATTTATACTGAATCATATGATCATTCTACTTAGTTATATATATATATATTTTTTTATCCTCACCCGAAGATATTTTTCCATTTTTTGTACAGATAGAGTGGGAGGGAGAGAGAGGAAGGGAGAGACAGACAGAAACATCGATGTGAAGGGACACATCGAGTGGCTGCCACCCGCACGACCAACCAGGGCCGGGGACAAACTGCAACCGAAGTACGTGCCCTTAGCGGGAACCGAACCCGGGTCTCTCCAGACCGCAGGCCGACGCTCTAACCGCTGAGCCAAACTGGCCAGGGCTATTTTTTATTTTTAATAATTCTGAGGAAGAAAGCATTGTTATCTATATACCTGGATTATCTGGCTGACGACCTTCCAGTCCAGAGCCAAGGCAAAGCCATCTGCTTAATGCAGCCTATTTTAATGGCAGCAAAATATCTGGGAGGCATTAAACAAACAGTTTTCTAGTGCTAGGTTTGCAAACATTATAACCACCACTGGCCCAGCTCGATTATTTCGTGGCTGGTAGCATAATTACATGCACACACGTAAGAACACCAGAGCACTGTCCTGGGACACAGGCCCCAAGTATTGGCACCATAAGCCAGAGTTCAGGTGAGTTTTTTTTTGCTTTGGAGCAGAAACCTTGATACTTTCCCCCTGTAAAAATGAAAACAGCTTTCATGTATTCCCTTTATAAAATGGGGGTAGTAATACCTCTGGCCCTCACAGCTGTGAGGAGGCAATGAGGCAACACAGCCAAGTGTGCGGCGTAGATCAGGCACATAGTAAGCACATTGCCAGCGTTAGTTGATGATATTCTTAATCTCATCATTCTCCAGGAATCACATTTCCTTCTGTTTGTTTATTATCTATACACAATCAATGCCCCCTTTCTTTCTCTTGTTATTTCAAAATCTCTCTGCATTGTCCCTCACTCTCCATTCCTGCTACCACGTTTATCCAAGATATGATCATATTAGGAGCAATGGAACTGGAGTCAGGAGTGACAAATGGGACTCATGCTGTGTGACTTTGGGCACGTCATTTAACTACTCCTAGGTTCCTGCTTCCTCATGTGTGAAATAAAGGTAATATCATCTCTCATATCCACCCCACAGGTTATTGCAAAGATCAGATGAGACATGTGCCAAAACTCTTTGAAAACCCTAAGGTGATGCAAAAATATTAACTTTTAGATTTTCAGTGTAACTTTTAGCTCTCTGTAACACCCATTTTCCTCTGTCCTAATATCCTCTGTATGTTAGTTTCAGATTCATTTTCTTAAAATACCACCTTCATCACTTAACAAGAATGCTACATGTATAAAGAACATTTGTCTATTGTTTGCCTTAAGTCTCCCGTGTCCAAATTTAAGATCTAGCCTTAACATTCCCAGTCACCACATCTTCAAACTGTGGACTCATGGAGAGTAATTTCTCCTAGTTTCTTTATCTCTTCCCATAAGGAGGGGAACTATGTGGTGAATTCTGGCTACTGAAACAAGAACAATGCTAACCAGCAGCTCCACAAAGCATTTTTTTGTTTTTTATCTTTATTGTTCAGAGTATTACAGATGTTCCTCCCTTTTTTCCTCCATTGATCCCCTCTTCCCCACTTCTACTCCCCTCCTCCTTTCCCCATATTATTGTCTGTGTCCATTGGTTATGCATATATGCAAATAAGTTCTTTGGTTTATCTCTTCCCACCCCACTCCCCATCCCGCTTCCCTTTGAAGTTTGTCATCTGTTCCTTACTTCCATGTCTCTGGATCTATTTTTATCATAAGCTTATTTTGTTCATTATATTCCATAAATAAGTAAGATCATGTGGCACTTGTCTTTCTCTGACTGGTTTATTTCGCTCAGCATAATACTTTCCAGGTCCCTCCATGTCGTCTCAAAGGGTAATAGATCCTCCCTTTTGACAGCTGCATAGTATTCCATTGTGTATATGTACCACAGCTTTTTTATTCACTCATTTACTGATGGATGCTTGGGCTGTTTCCAGATCTTAGCTACTGTAAATAGCTCTGCTATGAACATAGGGGTGCATATATTCTTCTTGATTGTTGTTCCAGGCTTCATAGGATATAGTCCAAGAAGTAGGATCACTGGGTCAAATGGCAGTTTCATTTTAAATTTTTTGAAGAAACACCATATTGTTTTCCACAGTGGCTACACCAGTCTGTATTCCCACTAGCAGTGTACTAGAGTCCCCTTTTCTCCACACCCTCATCAGTACTTGTTGTTTGATGGTTTGTTGTTGGCAGCCATTCTGGCAGGTGGGAGGTGATAGCTCATAGTTGTTGTAATTTGCATCTTTCTGATGATTAGTGAAGTTGAGCATTTTTTCATATGTCTCTGGGCCATTTGTATGTCCTTTTTGGAGAAGTGTCTATGCAGGCCTTCTGCCCATTTTTTAATTGGATTGTTTGTCTTCCTTTTGTTTTCTTAAATTTTATTGAAAAATTTTTTCTTTATTGGTATTAGAGAGAGAGAGATGAAAGGGAGGGAGAGAGAAATAGAAACATCAATGAGAGAGAACATCAATTGGCCACGTCCTTCATGCTCCCTACTAGAGATTGGGCCTACAACCTGGGCATGTGCCCTGACTGGGAATTGAACCAGTAACTTCTTGGTGCATGGGTTGATGCTCAACCACTGAGCCACACCGGCTGGGCTGTCTTCCTTTGTTGAGTTGTATGAGTACTCTATATATTTTGGATGTTAACCCCTTATACAATGTTCTCCCAGAGAGTGGGTTCCCTTTTAATTTTGATGATAGTTTCTTTTGCCTTGCAGAAGCTTTTTAGTTTGATATAGTCCCATTTATTAGTTTTTTCCTTTGTTTCTCTTGCCCTAGGCGATGTATCAGTGAAAATTCTGCTACATGTGATATCTGAGATTTGCTGCTTACATTTTCTTCTAGGATGTTTTTTTAATCCTCACTGGAGGATATTTTTCTATTTATCTTCAGATAGAGTGGGAAGGAGGAAGAGGGAGAGGGAACGGGAGTGGGAGTGGGAGAGAGAGAGAAAGAGAGAGGGAGAGAGAGACATCAACAGGTTGCCTCCTGCACAACCCTGATCAGGGCCAAGGATAAACCGCAACTGAGGTACGTGTCCTTGGTCGGAATAGAATCCGCAAATCATTGGTCCAGGAGTCAATGCTCTAACTGCTGAGCCAAACCGGCCAGGGGTCTTCTAGGATTTTTATGGTTTTATTACTTATATTTAAGTCTTTTATCCATTTTGAGTTTATTCTTGTGAGTGGTGTAAGTTGGTGGTCTAGTTTCATTTTTTTGTTTTGCATGTACCTGTCCAATTCTCACAACACCATTTATTGAAGAGATAGTCTTTTCTCCAATGTATTCTCTTTCCTCCTTCGTCAAATATTATTTGCACATAATGTCTTGGGTCGATTTCTGGGTTCTCTGTTCTGTTCTATTGATCTATTTGCCTGGTCAGGCTGTTTTGATTACTATGGCTTTGTAGTATAACCTGATATCCGGTATTGTGATCTCTCCAACTTTGTTCTTCTTTTTCAAGATTGCTGTGGCCATTTGGGATCTTTTTTGGTTCTATATAAACTTCTGGAGTATTTGTTCTAGATCTGTGAAACATGCCATTGGTACTTTAATTGGGATTGCATTGAATCCAAAGATTGCTTTTCACAAAGCATTTGTTAAGAGGAGTAATAAATTTGAGAGCTCA